AGTCTCATACTATTTGGTTGAGGCTAACTTAAGTAGAGAACAGAAACTAAAAATTCAGCAATTTTTCTATTTGTAAACACGCATAACTCTAGAACGGTTGTGTATAAGTTTTATAACATTTGGTTGAGACAAACTAAAGTTAGAGAACGAAAAGCGGGATCATTAATTGTGGTCTTGGGCCAAAAGTGTTGCCACCAAATTTCGTACTTAATCTGTATTATGTAGTAATAAGCATTGTGTATAAGTTTCATAACATTTGGTTGAGGCAAACTTTAGTTAGAGAACGGAAAATGGAATTTTTCCATTAATAAAGGGGCATAACTCTAGAACGGTAAAAGTGACGCCACAAAAATTCAAACTTGATCTGTATTTTGTGGTAATAAGCATTGTGTATAAGTTTCATAACATTTGGTTTAGGCAAACTCAAGTTAGAGAACGGAAACCAGTTTTGGGACGTACATATGTACGTACAGACGGACAAGGGTAAAACGTTTTTGTTAAAATGGACAGTAGATATTCCTTGTCAGATTTACCCTATCTGTAACAGTTTTTAAGATTGAAAAAAATAATTTTACCCCTATGTTCTATTTTAAGCCATGTTTGCCATATTGGATTGCAGGAGGGATAATCAAACACATTTTTTAAACCTAGATACCCAAATGATTATTGTGGCCAAGTATGGTTCCAATTGGCCTTGTAGTATCAGAGAAGATGTTTGTAATGCCTTGTTCACACGTACATATTATTCGAATTGAATTCGAATCGAATGCGAATCGAATTCGCTAATCGCGTTCACACACTCTTCTTTTTTAATTCGAATTGATTCGAATTGGCTAAATCGCATTATCCAATTCGCATTAGAAATGCGTTTTTGTTAATACGAATTAAAAGTTAACGTCGTTAGGACAGTAAAGCATATTTGACGCGCATTGCAATTCGAATTAGAATTTACGTTTGGACGTTAAACGTTTCGAATGCGAATTAAACTAATTCGAATTAGTTAATGCGAATCGAATTCGAATTACGTGTGAACGCAGCATAAAAGTTAGTAGACAACAGACAACAAATGAATGACGCCAAGTCATGGCAATAGCTCACACTGGCCCTTTGGCCCAGGTGAGCTAAAATTGACAGTAATATAATACTAATATCCACATAACAAATTGGGTGTGTTTTATTCTGTAAACTTAAATGCTGTACCGCTTCTTTTTCCTAAAAAAAAAAACACTACAACATTTCAGATGTTCAGTTAACTGTGAAATTTGATCAAAACACTTTGGCACATATCGTAAATTGTTCACATCATAATGAAGTAAATGAACATGTGTACTAAGTTTCAAAATGATGTGACAACATTTACATGGTAAACTACCTTAACCCAAAACTTTAATCTGATACGGGACAGACGAACAGAATAATGGACTGATTCAAAGACCAAAACTTTAATCTGATACGGGACAGACGAACAGAATAATGGACTAATTCAAAGACCAAAACTTTAATCTGATACAGGACAGACAAACAGAATAATGGACTAATTCAAAGACCAAAACTTTAATCTGATACAGGACAGACAAACAGAATAATGGACTAATTCAAAGACCAAAACTTTAATCTGATACGGGACAGACAAACAGAATAATGGACTAATTCAAAGACCAAAACTTTAATCTGATACGAGACAGACAAACAAAATAATGGACTAATTCAAAGACCAAAACTTTAATCTGATACGGGACAGACGAACAGAATAATGGACTAATTCAAAGACCAAAACTTTAATCTGATACGGGACAGACAAACAGAATAATGGACTGATTCACAGACCAAAACTTTAATCTGATACGGGACAGACAAACAGAATAATGGACTAATTCAAAGACCAAAACTTTAATCTGATACGGGACAGACGAACAGAATAATGGACTGATTCAAAAACCAAAACTTTAATCTGATACGGGACAGACGAACAGAATAATGGACTAATTCAAAGACCAAAACTTTAATCTGATACGGGATAGACGAACAGAATAATGGACTAATTCAAAGACCAAAACTTTAATCTGATACGGAACAGACGAACAGAATAATGGACTAATTCAAAGACCAAAACTTTAATCTGATACGGGACAGACAAACAAAATAATGGACTAATTCAAAGACCAAAACTTTAATCTGATACGGGACAGACGAACAGAATAATGGACTAATTCAAAGACCAAAACTTTAATCTGATACGGGACAGACAAACAGAATAATGGACTAATTCAAAGATAAAAAAACATAATGCCCATACATTCAAAGACAGCATAAAAACTCACAGATGTAGACAAAAGACTACTACAAATTAGCTGCATTATCTGTCTCAATACAATGTTACAAACTAGGGTAGGGTTAAAATATTTGTCTATAACAAAACCTATCTGGATCATATGAAGTAACACACAATAAAATGTACTGTAGATGTACAAATGACTAGTTACCTAAGCAAAGAAATAATAAATGTGGATAGTGTCCACATGTGGACACAGATGATGCCCCCGCTTGCATATCACATAGTTATAAAGGGACATAACTGAAGAACGGTAAAAGTGACGCTACCCAAATTTGAACTTGATCTGAGTTTTGTGGTAATCGGCATTGTGTGTAAGTCTCATACTATTTGGTTGAGGCTAACTTAAGTAGAGAACAGAAACTAAAAATTCAGCAATTTTTCTATTTGTAAACACGCATAACTCTAGAACGGTTGTGTATAAGTTTTATAACATTTGGTTGAGACAAACTAAAGTTAGAGAACGAAAAGCGGGATCATTAATTGTGGTCTTGGGCCAAAAGTGTTGCCACCAAATTTCGTACTTAATCTGTATTATGTAGTAATAAGCATTGTGTATAAGTTTCATAACATTTGGTTGAGGCAAACTAAAGTTAGACAAGAGTGCACACGCTGAAATGTCTCGCCTTCTTTACTAATCATTTATATTATGTTGATAGTCCCAAATATAAAGCTTTATTACAACTGTCACATAAACTTAACATTAACCAAGTAAACTAAACATTGACCAATGAACCATGAAAATGAGGTCAAGGTCAGATGAACCATGCTAGGCAGGCATGTACAGCAAACAATTCTTCCATACAACAAATATAGTTGACCTATTGTTTATAGTTTAAGAAAAACAGACCAAAACACAAAAACTTAACACTGAGCAATGAACCTTGAAAATGAGGTCAAGGTCAAATAAAACCTGCCTGACTGACATATAGATCATAAAATATTTCCATACACCAAATATAGTTGAACTATTGCATATAGTATTAGAAAAAAAGACCAAAACTCAAAAACTTAACTTTGACCACTGATCCATGAAAATGAGGTCAAGGTCAGATGACACCTGCCAGCTAGACATGTACACCTTACAATCATTCCATACACCAAATATAGTAGACCTATTGCATACAGTATAAGAAAAACAGACCAAAACACAAAAACTTAACACTGAGCAATGAACCTTGAAAATGAGGTCAAGGTCAAATAAAACCTGCGTGACTGACATATAGATCATAAAAATATTTCCATACACCAAATATAGTTGAACTATTGCATATAGTATTAGAAAAAAAGACCAAAACTCAAAAACTTAACTTTGACCACTGAACCATGAAAATGAGGTCAAGGTCACATGACACCTGCCAGCTAGACATGTACACCTTACAATCATTCCATACACCATTTATAGTTGACCTATTGCATATAGTATTAGAAAAAAAGACCAAAACTCAAAAACTTAACTTTGACCACTGAACCATGAAAATGAGGTCAAGGTCACATGACACCTACCAGTTGGACATGTACACCTTACAATCATTCCATATACTAAATATAGTAGACCTACTGCTTATAGTATCTGATATATGGACTTGACCACGAAAACTTAACCTGGTTCAGTGATCCATGAAATGAGGTCGAGGTCAAATGAAAATTGTCTGATGGGCACGAGGACCTTGCAAGGTACGCACATACTAAATATAGTTATCCTATAACTCATAATAAGAAAGAAATTAACATTACAAAAAATGTTGATTTTTTTTTTCAAGTAGTCACTGAACCATGAAAATGAGGTCAAGGACATTGGACATATGACAGACGGAAACTATAAGGCATCTATATACAAAGTATGAAGCATCCAGGTCTTCTAGCTTCTAAAATATAAAGCTTTTAAGAAGTTAGCTAACGCGGCCGCCGCCGGATCACTATCCCTATGTCGAGCTTTCTGCGACAAAAGTCGCAGGCTCGACAAAAATGGAAACAAAATATTTGTACTTGATCTTAGTTTTGTGGTAATGAATATTGTGTATAGGTTTCATAATGTTTGGTTGGGGCAAACTTAAGTTACAGAATGAAAACTAAAAATTTTGCAATCTTTCGATTTATAAAGGGGCATAACTCAATAATGGTTAAAGTGACACTACCCAAATTCAACTTGATCTGTGTTTTATCAGTGGAAGTCAAAATTTAACATTGCATTGTATAAAGCATTGATTGTAGTTGATTCAACTATAATCATGGACAAAGGAAGATAATTCCAATTTTATAAATTACTTGATATTTAGAAAAACTAAAAATTTTGCAATTTTTCCATTTATAAAGGGGCATAACTCTAGAACGGTTAAAGTGACGCCACCAAAATTCAAACTTGATCTGTGTTTTGTGGTAATAAGCATTATGTATAAGTTTGATAACATTTGGTTGAGGCAAACTCAAGTTAGAGAACGGAAACCAATTTTGGGACGTACGGGCAGACGTACGTACAGACGGACAAGGGTAAAACTTAATGCCCCCACCGCTACGGCGAGGGCATAAAAAAGATTTCTTGATTTGGAAAGCATGGTTTTAGTATTTACTTTGGTTCTGACCAAACTTGATAATCCAGTTAAGCACTGCAATACAACTTAATCTGTATCTGTGATTTTGATTGATGCATAATTAAAACCATGAACACTTTTTATGTAAAATATATTTAATGTTCAACAGAAGCTTTGATCTTTCATACACAAACCACATCTATACAATATATTTGTGACGCGAGAACAAACAACAAAATTATAAATAAATTATGAAAATTAATATTGAATTCTAATACCACTATTTTTTTTTAAAGAATTACAGGCTCAGTGGTGTATTATTCAGGAAACAACCAACATTGAATATTTATCATTTCCCAACTAAAGACCAGCATTAAATGACTTCTATGAGAGCTGGTAGCAATGGGCCTACCTATATGAGATGTTATTCTGAGAAAATTTGAAAATCATATCTGCCAAATCTGGTATAAATATGTCATTCATTGAATATATAAATCCTTGAAATTTTTTACTGACAGTAATAGGAAAAGTAAAGATCAACTATTGTGAAAAGAAGTTTAGGACTATTTTAATCAAACCAGTTCTAAATAAGCAGTTGTAGTATCAATTTCACCTCTGTGCTATATACAATAATATGATCAGGAATCAGTCCAATATTGGTGCATGATGAGGAAGGATTTCATGACAAACATTGCTTAATGTATTTACATATGTAATCATTTTCAAATTTCTTTTAAAAATTCTTACAGAAAATTGTTATAAGGCCAACATATTGTAAATTATGAATTGAATCCCTATTAATCTTTACATCTTGACTTTAACAATAGTATCCAGCTGTTGGCATGCTTAATCTTTAAAGCACACATCCACTCAATAATACAGGATAATTTGGAAAAACTACAAGTATCTTACCCCAATATAAACATGTACAAAAACACAATAAATAATCTAGCAGCTATCAGATATATTTATCTGTTGTCAACATTTTTTCTTAAATATCTAATCATATTGGAATAAAATGAATAAAATTGAACAAAGTTACATGTAATTGATAACACAATAAGTAATAGCAATCAACCCATAATTTATACAAAATAATTTATCTACTTTTAATTCAAACATGAAAGCCAAGTTCCTTGCACATCTCTCACAATTTTAATTTAAATGAACTTGTGCTATGGAACACATGAAGTTTAAGTCATACACATGAAGAAAAGAAAATATTATATTGCATGATTTAATAGCTTAAATTCTGAATTAATTTCACTGATAATTGGATTTGACTTATTTTATTGATTCCATAGACCCTTAATAATGATCTGTAGTAAAAAAAAAAGGCTCCTTTTTTCATAAATAAGAAGAATGCGTGTTTAATTGAAGAATTATTTTGGAGAGATCAACTAGTCACAAAGAATCTTAATAGAACAGACACATACATACACTTATACACACGTTCAAATAAAGGCATACAATTATCAAGCAGTGAGGAATTCTGTGATGATAAACAACAACAAAAAATCTCAGTTATCAGCTTCACTTAATCTAATGAATAAATCATGATAATTGTATAATGTAATCTACACACTCATTTTATATCATTTTCACTCACTTTTATAGAAACAAAATTGTTAGTGTTCACCCTTTTAAGGTAGATGGGGTGGGTCTAAATTAAAATCCATAGAATTTTTTAATAATTTGTCAAAATGTAGTTTATGTCATGCTTTTTTCAAAAATATAACAAAAAGTAGGCGTCACCGGGCTTTTATCACACTACAGGTTGTGCAAAATTGTCAGACTTTGTATAGATTATGCATTGAAAACCAAATTTTGTGTGATAAATAGAAAACTGCACCATAGAATTTTAAGATAAAATATGAGAAGATAGCTCTAATAATATGCTTTCAGATAAGAAAAAGAAAAAATTTGTAAGGGTTCCGCGGAACCCAGTGTCTCGCCTACTTTTGCTGTTAATCGCAGGCTCAACAAAAATGAGGAAAAAAAATCAATAAAAATACTCCGTTAGATACTATCTTTTGATTGTTAGAAGCTTCTGTCAAAGTTTGGTATAAATCCAGGATAGTTTATGAATCTAATAAATGTTTTAAAAACTTTAACTGCAGACTGTATTTAATGTTAACTGGAAGAAAAACTAAGTTCATTTATAAGTAAAATACGGATAAACAGGTACAAATTTTAACAAAATTTCCTTCTAGATACTAGCTTTTAATCATAAACAAGCTTCCGTCCAAGTTTGGTACAAATCCAGGATAGTTTAAGAAAGTTATTAAAATTTTAAAAACTTTAACCACAGAGTGAATGTATTGTTTCCTGGCAGAAAAACTAAGTCCATTTAAAAGTAAAATACGGAAAAAATGAAATTTTTTTTTTAACAAATTTACTTCTGGATACTATCTTATGATCATAAACAAGCTTCTGTCCAAGTTTGGTACAAATCTAGGATAATTTAAGAAAGTTATTAAAATTTTAAAAACTTTAACCACAGAGTGAATGTAATGTTTCCTGGCAGAAAAACTAAGTCCATTTACAAGTAAAATACGGAAAAACAGGAATTTTATTTTTACAAAATTTACTTCTGGATACTATTTTATGGTCATAAACAAGCTTCTGTCCAAGTTTGGTAGAAATCCAGGATAGTTTAAGAAAGTTATTAAAATTTCAAAAACTTTAACCACAGAGTGAATATTTGTGGACGCCGACGACGACTACGGAATGTAAGATCGCTATGTCTCGCTTTTTCGACTAAAGTCGAAGGCTCGACAAAAATGGGGTCACCTGACTCATTTTCTTCCTATATAATAAAATAGGTAAATTCACAACACATTCTATTGTAACAGTTACTTTATCTGAGTTATGTCCCCTTATATCTGAGTTATCTACCCTTATGTAGCAAAGTTGGAAAAAAGTGAATCAAACAAAAAAAAATCTGTTTTTTTTTGTAAAATACAGCCGTAAATATGATAAAACACATAATTTTCTATATCAACATGACAAGTCTTACATGTGAATTACATACTACTCTCGAAATTTGCATATTTCATTAAAGATCTAGACCGATTGCTATCTGCTATTATAAATGGAGGAAGACACCCCAGCTACCTTAAAATTCTTTGTACAAATATGTACTAACCAATATAAATAATACATTAAATAATCAAAATACAAACCATAGTCAAAGTTAAGTGACTTAGATTGCATATAAATGAAATAAATGTTATGCCCAATAATATTTTAGAAGAGTGTAAATATCTAATGACAGAGTGGCATACAATGAAATAAGTGAAAATAAAAAACAAAATGATGACTAGAAAGACTTTTGAAATTAACAGAAGAATGAATGCCTTGGTCATACTTTTAAGAAGACACTAACTGTTAACATGAACATTTTTGTGGGTTTTTTTATATATCCTATTTCAATGCATATATTTTTAGCGCTGGGGTCAAGTTCATGCAAAAATGATACATTCCCACTGCATATCAATATCTTTGCTTTTTAAAAAAAAATTTGTGTTGGGGATGTTTTCATGTATTTGACATGAATGCAAAATAAGCAGACTAATATACTATGATCTAAAATTTCTACGTATATGCAAAAGTAAATTTGATTAAATGTTTTCCCATAATAACTGAATATCTCACTCAAATTACTAAAGGACATTATCAAGTGATAATAAACTGTTAACACAGAGATATGTCTCGCCTATTTGTTATTTTGATAATGCAAATGTTGAAATTAAAATAACAATACTTTAACATGTAAGTTATGCAAATATTCAAAATCAATGAACCATGACTGAAGGTACAGGGCTAAACAATCTCCATGGAAATGAGATGTGCCAATGCTAATATAACTGCATACCAAATACCACTGACTTTTCACAAGTTGTTCCCTTTAAACAAACCTAAACACAAACATTGTAAAAGTTTCAAAGTCAATGAACCATGATGAGGGGGTGGGGCTATATAATCTCCATCAAAATTAAACTTGCACATGCTAATACATTCGCATACCAAATATCATTGACTTAACATTAGTGGTTCAATGTAAACTGACCTACGGTAATCACAAACTAATACATGTAAACTAGGCAAATGTTTCAAAGTCAATAGAACATGACTGAGGGGTAAGGACCAAAAATTCTCCATGGAAATGAGATGTGCTAATGCTTATACAACTGCATACCAATTATCATTGACCTACCACTAATGGTTCCCCTTAAACTGACCTAATCACAAACTAATACATGAAAACTAAGCAAAAGTTTCAAAGTCAATAAACCATGACTGAGGGGGCGGGGTCAAATAATCTCCATGGTAATGAGATGTACCAATGCTAATACAACTGCATACCAAATATCTTTGACCTACCACTAGTGGTTCACCATAAACTAGACCTAATTACAAACTAATACATTGTTGACGTCCCTGCAAGAAACAGCATACCTATGTCTCGCTTTTTGACTCGGTCAAGGCGAGACAAAAACTTAAAAAAAGAAACTAAAAGACTTCTTTTTTATCGTTATCTTAACAGAATAAGTATAGACATACCAAATAATTTTTCAACAGGGCCGAGTTGACCAATAACACAAAATAACTGTCCTTTTCCTAGTCAAAAATAATAGTTTGCATTTTATGATTAATATATCCAAATAACTTCAAAATTATAATCTGAATACATAGACACAAAATGTATCCGTTCCTTCAGATTTTTATTTGGCACTCAATATAAAACCACATAACTTCAAAATGTAGGATAATGTTTCACTGGACTCTACCTTTAATACAATGATAATACAATGTGTTTTAACAATGCGCAAAATTTCTGTTTTTTCTTCAAACATGAAATATAAAATCATCAAATTTTATCATGCATGAATTTGACATTTTGAGATAGTCTCCTCCCGTCAAATTATAAAACTAAGATGATTTACATTACAAGTACATCATTGATCACATTCACTTCCTATTGATGCAATATAACATAAATGTATTGAAATACTGTGTACAGCCATAAGGACAACTATTAACATGTGTAAAATACATATATATATGAGTAGGTGCATATCTGTGATGATTTAACAACATACAACAACATGCAAAATCTTTATCAAATGAAACCACTATACTATGAAATATTGTGAAACATCAGATTATAGATTTAACAATTGGTGAACCTGTATATGTAAAATGTTTATTAAAATTAAATAATCAAAAAATCCTTTCAACAAATGAATACAATATATCTAAAGTGAATCTTAGCATACATTTCTACCAAGTAAATTAAACATCAACAAGTCGAAAGCTGGCACTGTAAACATATGCTCCTAAAACTGCACAATGATGGATGATCCCCTAATACTTAATCTGGAAAATATTTGTTTAAAAGATTTCTTGAGAAACAGCTACAATGAACTTTGATCTATTGACCCCAAAAGCTATAGGCATCCACTTCCTTATAACTCCCATTGGTATGAAATTCGCTTTTTTCAAGCAAGTGATTTTATCCAGGCATTTGTTTATAAAAAAATGTTTTGTAATGACACTGAACTTGACATTTACTTGGTATTGACCCAAAATCAATGAGCTTCTTCCCCTTCCCTTTCGATTGGTATTAGTTTCCATAAGATACAGCACAGGAAACTCAATATTTATTCTGGGATTTTTTTTTATCTCCTTGAACAGATGGAAGGATAAGACCACAACTATTTTTTCCCAAATTGTTTTGAAAAAAAAAGACATCTAGTGTTTGTATATTGACAATAGAATTAACATCTACAGGGAAAATAGTAGGAAAATAGTTTGCACTCCCTTTTTCGCTGTTCAATTATTTCTTGTTTTTTTTTTAAAATTACATGAGTTTAAAAAAAACAAATTATTGGGTGTGGAATAAACATGTTAAACAGTTAAAGACTAATGGAATTTGTCAGACCTAATATTTCGTTTTAAAACAACAAATTAACATGAACAATCAATGTTTCTATGGAAATCAGTTTATAACTAAACCATCTAATAACAACACTTTCCTTTTTCAAAACATCACTCTACTTAATGATTAATTTATAAAGTCTTCCATTTTGTTCTGATATGTTGGATCTCCATTGTTTATCACAGATAATCTTGTAAGTATATATCGTCTGGTCAGATGACATGTCCTGGAAAGTTCAGTAAAAAACTTGGATGGTATGTCGTCTGCTCAAATGAATTAACCTGCAAAGAATAAAAAATACATCACAAGTTGTCATCTTGTCAGATGGCATATTCTGAAAGACTGATAAACAAGACTGTTACAAAAGAGAAGCTTAAGTCCCTGCCAATATACTGGTATATACCGGGTAAAGTCCTTATATCGATTTTGAATAATGCAACACTTGACCTATTGATGTCATACAACAACAGTTTTTGCATTGCCTTATCAAGAGTTTGCATATATGATGCAACATTTTCCATGAACGCCTATAATATCCAGTAATGGGGGACATATAACTAAAATGGACATTTTTTAAGGTGATAATTTAGGCAGAAACTTAATAAAATGCTCCGCAGGGCGCAGCTTGATACGACCGCAGAGGTCGAACCCTGAACAGTTGGGGGAAGTATGGACACAACATTCAAGCTTGATACAGCTTTGGATTTGGATTGTGATTAAATATTTGACACAGCATAGGTTTCTAACACAGATTGAATGTGGTCTAAGAACTTAAAAATTTTAAATTGGACATTCACCTATTATGGTCCAATATCCAAAATCTAAATACATGGTTAGATTCAGCATATCAAAGAACCCCATGAATTCAATTTTTGATGAAATCAAACAAAGTTTAATTTTGGACCCTTTTGACCTCAATGTGGACAAAGTTGATAACGGGGCCCAAAAATCAAAAATCTAAATACATGGTTAGATTCAGCATATCAAAGAACCCCATATATTCAATTTTTGTTGAAATCAAACAAAGTTTAATTTTGGACCCCGATTTGGACCAACTTCAAAACTGGGCCCATAATCAAAAATCTAAATACATGTTTAGATTCAGCATATCAAAGAACCCTAAGAATTCAATTTTTGTTAAAATCAAACTAAGTTTAATTTTGGACCCTTTGGACCTTAATGTAGACCAATTTGAAAACGGAACCAAAATTTAAGAATCTAAATACACAGTTAGATTCGGCATATCAAAGAACCCCAATAATTCAATTTTTGATGAAATCAAACAAAGTTTAATTTTGGACCCTTTGGACCTCAATGTGGACCAATTTAAAAACGGGGCCCAAAATCCAAAAACTAAATACACGGTTAGATTCAGCATATTAAAGAACCCCATGAAATCAAGAATAAAACCCCATTGAAATTGGTCAAGAAATAAGCAATTTATAGGAAGTATCTTCTTTTGCACAATCCTGTGCTATTAAATATTTCTTGCTATTGCGCAATACTGTACAACTGACAATTTCTTGCTATTGCGCAATATTGTGCTATTGGATATTTCTTGCTATTGCGCAATACTGTGCAATTGAAGATTTCTTGCTATTGCGCAATACTGTGCAATTGAAGATTTCTTGCTATTGTGCAATACTGTGCAATTGAAAATTTCTTGCTATTGCACAATACTTATTATATAATAATTTACACATCCTGTTTGGTGTGTATCTCCTACCATATCATTATTATTTGATTTTAAATATAAATCAGAAATAACCAACTTAAAATGGAAAATTTTAAAAGAAACAAAAAAGGAAAAAAAGAAAAAAAAGGAAAAAAAAATAAATCCCCCCCCAAAATTTTTTGAACCCCCATTATGATTCATCACCCCCAAACTCAATCCCAGCCTTCCCTTTGTGGTATGGTACCTTGCAGTACAATTTCAGAGAGATCCATACACTTGAACACAAGTTATTGTCTGGAAACTAGAAAAAAATGTGTTTTTTGGCCCCTTTTTGGCCCCAAATTCCTAAACGTTTAGGGCAATTACCCCCAAACTCAAACCCAGCTTTCCCTTTGTGATATGGAACCTTGTAGTACAATTTCAGAAAGATCCATACACTTACACACAAGTTATTGTCATGAAACTAGAAAAATGCTTGTTTTTTGCCCCTTTTTTGGCCCCTAATTCCTAAAATTTGGAGGCAATTACCCCCAAAATCAATCCCAGCATTCCTTTAGTGATATGGAACCTTGTGGTACAATGTCAGAGAGATCCATACACTAACACACAAGTTATGTCTGGAAGTTGCAAAAATGCTTATTTTTGGCCCCTTTTTGGCCCCTAATTCCTTTACTGTTATTACCATAACCCCCAAAATCAATCCCAACCTTCCTTTTGTGGTATTGAACCTTGTGGTAAAATTTCATAAAGATCCATTCACTTAAACTAAAGTTAGAGTGCGAAAACCAATGTGTCTTCGGACGACGCTGGACGACGACGACGACAACGACACCAACGTCATACCAATATACGACCACAAATTTTTTTTTGCGGTTGTATAAAAATTACAGTACTCCAAAGGGCAAAAACCCCCAACAAAGTGCTTGTGAGCACTGCAGGGTAAAGATTGCATTCATTTTGCAGCAGAAAATAAAAATTTAACAATTTATGGTATTAATTGTCAGTTCAACTGCAATTATGGTCAAAGGAAATTTACTCCAATTTTAAATAAATTTTAAAAATAAACTGTTGACACTGAGATATGTATCGCCTCTCGTCATAAAATTCAGAAAAAAGACCTGATGGACAGCAACATTGTTAATTAATTCAATCGCTGGACCATGATCTAGTGGGAATGGTCATCAAACTGAGATGTACAGGCAGTAATGTAACTTTATAGAAAATATCGTTGTCTATTGTAAGTAGTTATTACCAAACTGACTTAAGCAGAAAACTTAAATTTGAAATTTGCTAATTAATTCAAAGTCACTGGACCATGGCATAGGGAGCAGGGCCTCAAAATAGTCATCAACCGTATATGAATTGATAGTAATGCAACTTCATACAAAATATCATTGATCTATCACAAGTAGTTCCTATAAAACTAACTTGAGCAGAAAACTTAAAATTGAACATTGCTAATTTATTCAAAGTCACTGGATCATGACCTACGGGGCAGGGCCTCAAAATAGTCTTCAAACTGATATGAACTAATAATAATGCAACTTTATATTAAATATCAATGATCTATTACAAGTAGTTCCTATCAAACTAACTTAAGTAGAAAACTTAACAATTGTTGACGCCAACTACAACAACATCTTCATTTGAAAAGCAGTCCATATGTCTCGTGTTCCGAGACTTTCGTCACAGGCGAGACAATTACATCATTGATATATTATAGAATAAATACTAGATTCATGCACCATGCACAATTTATGTAATTTTCTTGGTATGGATATACACATACACATCATTTTGTTTCTTGAGTATATCTTTCATTGATAAATTTTCTTAAATATTCAAGAATAGGATATATAGAATGTTGTGCTTAATGTACTATGTTTTTTCTCTCCTCAAAAGTACTGATGATGTTTGAAAAATTGACAACTATCGAGCCAGCCACATAAGGGTTTTGATTTCATGATGTAAACATTTGAAATAAATTGTATTAAAATCTGATGAGAACAGCAGGCGTGACAGAACCTACAGTTGTCAATTTTCAATTTCAATTACCTTTCCAAGAGGTGTAACACTTGACTACTGCAATAATCATGATCCATGTTGATTTTCCAACTTAATGCCCTAGATATTATTTATGAAAACTGTTGGCATAAATTTCCTTACTCCGATGAGATGTGAAGTAATAAGAGCACTGACTATCTTGTTTTTGAATGTTATTAACTCTTAGTAATATAAAATGGTTAAGAAACCATTCTTCAGCTATTTGTATATCCTTCCCTAAAGGAGTTTTACGACTAAACATACAATCCTATCTATAACAAAACTTACAACTCATCCCAAGTCTGCTAATCTTTGTCTTTCATCTCCTAAAACAACAAAAAATCACTATGACATGTTATCTGACACACAGACATATATCTGTTTTGAAGGTGTAATACCACCAAATCATACTACATCACATCCGGTTGCATACGAAAAAGGGTCGAAAAAAAATATTCCCTTGAAATTGACAGTAGTATGAAATTAATCCTACATTTCATTGCAGTAAAAAAATTCTGAGTCATAAACATATTTCTTGGGTGTTTCAAAGCACCATTCTTTTTTCATTTGGTGTTTCTATAGGATATTTTGGAAACTTGAGGTTACATGGTTACTAAAGCTTGTACACAGGAAAAAAAGTGGTGAAAATTTGATTGGTTAACTTTCAGTGATGGTTACTATCTTATATGCAATGAAATGTTATGTGAAAATTTGTCTGTAGTATTGGACAGGATAAAACTTTACTCATGCCAAGTATTTCTTTATTTGAAACAAAGATAAATTCTGCACAATTTTTTGAAAAGACTAATAGGGGATAAACAATGGTGGTATCACACCTTGAAATTCGTAAGAGTGCATTTTTCTAAATGTTGTGATCTATGACAAATTTTTTCATCAATTCATGTGATCTAGAAGTGCAATATTATGAAATCAAGCTTAGGTCTGTTCCAAAATTAAAAGCATGGGGCATTGGAGGTACTTTTTCACCCGTACAATAACATTTTTTATTTTTCTATAATTCCTTCAAAATTCTAAGGAAAATACAACCACCCATATTTAATTAATTTGCGTGCCTCCCATTGAAAAATACTTCAGGAAAAAGGAGGCATTCATGCTGACCTTTATTTCCAACAATGATCATAAGGTTCTTCTAGATAAAAATATTCTTTTGCAAAAATCTCTCCCTGAAATAAATGACCCCTCATTTCATATTATTTTCTGATTATCAACTGCCTTCAAGATTTTGATGAGTGGAAACCTTCATACAAATTTAGAGAACCAGAGACCCCTGGCCAAAGGAATTAATATTGGATATATATTACAAGTCCCCCCTCCTGAATAAATGGCCCCCCATTTCATATTTTTCTGATTATCTAACTCATTCCTGAATTTCGATGAGTGACACACTTCATCCAAATTTGCTTGTGATCGGATAAACTAGAGGTTTTTAGGAGCCTAAATTGTTCCCCTGGCAAAAATATGCCACATTAAGATGATTGGTAACAGTGCCAGCCATCTTTTACACACTCAGTTAGAGGGTGACCAGGTTAGATCTAGTTTTAAAAGACAATAACCCTGGTAAAACTAGTCACTTCACTGTTTCCAATCCTTGATTTTCTTGAAGATCCTTGAATCTTGAAGGTGCTATTCTGGCGAAAACAAAGAAATGACAGATCATCAACACTTTGATCTTTATCTCAAATAGCCATTCAAATGCTATCTTCATCTCCAACTTACACGAAGAATGTTTTATAATTAAAAAAATATGCTATTGCTACTAACCTGAAGGGTATGGCTTATAACCCAAAGCTATCTTTAACTCATTTAAATCTAATGATCCATTATGGTCAAAATCAAATTGTTCTACTTGTTCTGGGGAAGGTGGGTCAGGCATATAATCTCCTAAAGCTTCTATCTCATCTTTATCAATTACTCCATTGCCATTCTGATCCCAACGATGTAAACCCAGTTCTAGATCTACAATATGATAAATACAAATCAAACTCAGTATAACAGATATGGTAAGACATGAAGCAGGAATGACAAAATATCCACCCGGCCATGTCCAATTAACCCAAACTAGGAAATTAATCCTTCATTTCATTCAAACAGTTTTCATGTGTTAAATTAAATCAGTTCAATTCTGTAAAATTTTCTTTAAGAAATAAATATACTACTGGTTTTTGTTTGTGTGCTTTGCTTTTCTACAGAAATATATTGTTTACTTGTACTAATAAAATCTACAATCTTAATTCAACGGGTTTGGATTTTGATTGAATATTTGACACAGCATAGGTTTGTGACACAAAATCAAAATGAATGTGGTCAAAGAACTGAAAAATTTGAAATCTGATATTTACCTATTATGGTCCAATATCAAAATCTAAGTACATTGTTAGAATCAGCATATCAAAGAACCCCAAGAATTCAATTTTTAATGAAATCAAACAAAAGTTTAATTTAGGACCCTTTGGACCTCAATGTGGTATTATCTAATTAATAATGAAAATAAATACAGGTTTAGATTCAGCATTTCAAAGAACCCTATATATATATTCAATTTATGTTGAAATCAAACACAGTATAATTTTGGATCCCGATTTGGACCAACTTGAAAACTGGGCCCAAAATCAGGAATCCAAATATATTTTTATTAATAGACAAACTAAGCTTAGTTTTTAAAGGAGTTCGCTTCATCAAAAAAAATATATAGCATTCAGAAAATAAGTTTATACAGAATAACAAAACAAACCTACCACAAGACATTCTTCAAACAATTTACCAAAGAAAAGAAGAAAAAAAAATCCAAGATGTCATTTATCATTAATACACTATCTATTAAAAATTTATAAAACTTATCTGTAATCATCTTCAAAATGTCTAATAATGAACAGTAAATTTCAAACTTTATTTATACTGTCCTACAGACCATATCATCATCAACACTTAGGAAACAGAAAATTTTCAAATAAATCTGTCACTCCAATTATAATTGTGTGATAAGATATTTACCAGATGCTTTGTTATCTAATAACAGGAGAAAATTATTTAAAAACACTTACCCTGGTAGTGTAATCAAACTTTATATATATAATTAATAGTTCCAAATATTTTTTCTTTCATTTGTCACAAACTAATATAGATCTGCAACTTATCTATCAATGTCAACAATTTTATCTACACAATGTAATGTAATGAAATATATCCTTTAAAAAAAATAGATTATTATCTAATGAAAATGATATTTGCAAATCACAATTTCTTTTCAAATGGAAATAACTCAATCATTAATAAGTATAACTTTTGGCTACTAAAAGGTCGACGACAACTCAACAACGAGAAAAGTTAAAATTGTGAAAATTGAACCTGACCATTTAGTCACAGGAAACAACTTATCTAAATTTGAAATAAAATGCTTCGCTGAGCGCAGCCTGATACGACCGCAGAGGTCGAACCCTGAACAGTTGGTACAAATTTGGACACAATATTCAAGCTTGATACTGTCTGAATTTGGATTGTGATCAAATTTTTGACATAATATAGATTTCTGACACAAAATAAATGTGGTCAAAGATCTTACAAATCTATTGCGCAATACTGTGCAATTGAAGATTTCTTCTTGAAACCTTCCTTTTGCGGTATTGAACCTTCTTTAAAAATTTCATGGACATCCATTCACTTAAACGAAAGTTATTGTCCGGAAACCAATGTGTCTTCGGACGAAGACGCAGACGGCGACATCATACCTTTATACGATCCCAAAAAATTTTTTGCGGTCGTATAAAAATTTCGTTACAGTTTGCATGTTAATGAACGGTCACTGTTTGTCAGCTGCTCGCCCATCCACCTGCCTGTCGTACATCCCCAAATCAATACTGTGGATTCATTTTTATTCGTGGTTTACCAATTTTCGTGGGTTTCGTGGGTCACAGCGAACCACGAATTTAAGAATTCAACGAAGAATAATCCCGAGAAATGTGTATGGAGTCGGATGTTTATTTCCGGTTATGTTATGCAGTTCTAGTATAGTGTTGATTAGTGATAAACATTGTAACATAACACGTGTTTTTATTGAAAGAAGATACAAGTATTTTGATTAAATCAACAATTAATATAACGAATATCAGTGATAATTTACTTTTTAAAATTGATTAAAACTGTTCATGGAAAATAACTGCAAGTTGTTAATTACCGTGCCATAGTTTGGTTTACTGGTGATTAAAAATCAATAGGATTAAGTACGGGGTTATTGCCCGTAGGTAATATTGTTTATGCCAGGAACATTTATTTTCACACCTTTTACTTATATGACTGTTCATTACATCGTGATTAGGGAACTGAGCTTTCAATCATAGAATTTTGAATGCCTTATGAAATTCCGACAAGAATCTTTAAATTGTAAAACAAACAAATAATTAGTTGTCTCTGTCCATTATTGTAATAGAAGTTTTCAATGAACACTTTAACCTAGAATGACCAAGCGAGGATTTTGACAATTCAAAACTTGTTCAATGAATTCCTTCTTTTTTATTTGTTTTATTATTGATCAAACCAAGGAGGTTATATGATCTCCAAAATCAAAAAGAAATCCACGATTTACGTAGCTGATTTTTTTTTTTGTAATCAGCGATCCACGAATTTACGTATACCACGAAACGTCTTTTTTTCTCTATCCACGAAAATTGATACCCACGAAAATAAATGAATCCACAGTAACCAATTTTTCCTTCGAAAATCCGGTTAAAAATGATATGCTAATGCTAATACAACTATATACCAAATACTAATTACTAATCATAAGTAGATCCCCTTAAACTGACATAATCTCAAACAAATCATTGATGCTGCTGGAAACAACCCGCCTAAGTCTTGACTTTGTGACTTCAACCAGGTGAGACAAAAACTTAAACCTGAGACTGACTTATTTCCCAATATCCTATTTCTATGTTCATTGAACCATGAAAAGGGGATCAAAACATTATTTGGTATAATCATAATGAACATTTGTATGAAAGTTTCAAGTTATTGTTACCAAAACTACGTTAAAACTTATTAACCAAAAACTTAAACCTGGTACAAGATTGGACTTATATATGGACAGACGAACCAGAGAACAGAAAACAGAATCACACCGTACTATTGTAGAAAGGGCATAAAAAAATTGCACATACAAATGTATATGTAACCGGGAGAGAAACTTGCTAAATTTTCCTCAAGATTCTACAGCTTGTACAAATTTCACAATGTACCTATATTATTTAGCTCTGTTGTGAAGAGATTTACATATGAATTTAATTAGATCTACAATTATAGCAGAGGTCAAAGAGACAGAAATAATATGATGTATTAAGTTAATTAAATACAGTACAAGCTATATATATATATACCTTTCTCATTATGGACTAGTTTCATGAAGATAATTGGACGAGGAGTAGTTGTTAATTCAGGTGTTTCATCTGCAATAGAACCATTAATATATTGTTTATTTTATCTCATAAGCTTATGTAAAATCTGCAGCACCTAAAATGAGGTCACGGTCAGATTACATACATCAAACTTACATGACAATCATATAACAGGCTACAGATTTTAAGACTAAAACATATTTTTTTTAACTATGAACAACTTGTTTTTCAATCTAATTATGCCATAATTACCTGTTTTGGTTTGGTTGTCGATATTCAGATTTATATTTTCTGCCAATGGTAAATTTGCCAGATTTGGATCATCAGCTTTCATAGTAAGATTATCCTTCAAACCTTAAAATCATATAAAATCTTATGTTATAAATCATTTTATCACTTGTGTATTAAAATAGTGTTTTTACAATTTTGTTGAGGCTCTAGTTCAACCAATACAGAATAGCACAATATTCCTTGCCATAGCTACACTTCTTTCTTGTTTAAAATAGTTACTCAACAAAATTTAGATATTTTATTATAACCCTTTTCAGTCCAGAGATCAAATATCATATTTATATATTCCTAAAAGATTCTTTTTAATTTTTACATATTTGGTATGATAGCCACTTTTAAGAGAGATATTAAACACACTTACCATATTTTGTTTCTAAAATAGAAATGTATTGTTTTATCCCTTCTACAATTCTAGTAAGACTTGTCAGTGAGTTTTGGTTTAAGATGAACTTGTGCATCAATGTGGATACATCATGTGAAAGATGGTCCATTGTCTTGTTCAAACTCTGCAAAAAAAAACCAAACAGCATTAAATGTGATATAATTAAATATTCAGAGGGAAAAGATACAGAACCATAATACAATTTATTCTCATACATGAAAAATTTATAATGAATTTTAAAGAACTGTTATGGTTGTTGAAAATAGCATTCGCATTTGTCCACTTTTGCATCATTTAAAATTATTTAAAGGAGTAAGTCAATAAGGCATCTATTTCTAATTATGATTTAATTGCATATTTAAAACAGTGCCTAGATAGGAAATCAGTCTTTTTTTTCTTCCTTTATTTTTTTTTAAATATCTGCATTTTTTTTCCTCTTTCAATTTAGCATAAATTAAAAAAATTCTACCAAAGTCAATAAAAAAAGACAAAATACATTAGGTTTTAGGACCAAAAATAAATACAGTGCATGCATAGAAAAAAAGATCTTTAAACAATATGTTTGTTGTAACAAATAATATATCGGACTCTTAAATTTAATTTGTTGAACACTGTGCTTGATGCTTCCTAGCCCTAATTGTGGTTAAAATCCAGAAGATTTTGTCAACTTTCCCAAAATACTGTTTTAAATACCTCAAGTCTTTCCAAGGCATTAGTTTTAAATTCCATCAAACCATCATTATCTCCAGTGGCTGGTTGGTTTGGTTGTATCATGTCTGAATGGTCAGCTTTCAACTATCATAAGATAAATAAATCAGTCTTTGTTTCATAAGAAAGGACATACAATTTCTATATCAAAGTAAAATGATTTACCAGAAAGGCATTTTTTACAAGGCAAAAAAAATAGTTATACTTGTTTCTTGCATACTGGCAAATAGGGTAGTTAGGTGAGTAAAACAGTTTTATTCTTATAATATCTTACATAGACTGTATAGGGAAATGTTCTGGACCTTAACGTTGCTTAATAAAATGTCCTTAAATGTATTATGTAGGTAGCTCATGTAGGTAACAGAACTGGTCTTTTTTTGCCAAATAAGTAACAACCTATTCAAACACTTTCTTTAGGTAAACAAATTTTGCAATCAAGGTTTAAGAATATGTCATATTTATTAGTTATGGCTGAAATTAGGATATGACTCAATCAAGACAAATGTTCAAACTTAACTGTGTCTTAAATTTATCACCATTTGCTGGAAATAAACCTGCAGAGTTTTAGCTGCTTATTTTCAAAAATGTTTGGCAAGCAGTCAGGAGTATAAATACATTATAATGTAAACAACCAAAGATATTCTAGTAATTACTGTTTTCATAAATTTACTTTAAAAAAATATTGTTACATAACATGATGGCTATGTAGTATTTATTAACACCTACATATGCTTCATCTCTCTACTGAAGTATATTTTGATTTTAAACTATCCAAAAAAAACACTAATATGAACTAGAACCATTCATCAACAGCAATGAAATTTACTTAAATACACTCATTTCTGTTATTAAAACAGCAACTATCTTGAACTGGAAGTTATTGCATCAAAAACAAAGACAATGTACTAAGCAGAGATCTACTTTGACAGCACTGAAGTATCACTGAAGCTGCATCATGAACATAAAACTCAAATATATGACGGAAATTGTGTAAATAGTTTCTACCCCTATCTCAGCATGACATACTTATTTTGTAGTTAGATAACATAAACAATGAATAAATCAAGTCAAACTGAAAATGCATTCTGTCTGTTCAAGTATATCTCAACATTGTTTATGTGTGTAAGTGTATGAAAAATATAGTGATACTCAACTAGTTTAAAATGATATCTTAAGATTTATCCTAAGTACAAGCTTTAAAATAAGCCACTGGTCTCACAGATTCTTTATCATTATAATTATACTATCCAGATTTTTACAAAGTACTGGTAAATTAAGAATCCTTTGTGTGTGTGAATGTGTGAATGCTCACCTGTACAAACTGATCTTTAAGGTTCTTTACCATAGAAGTTACATTATCCATATTTGACAAAATACTCATCAAAGAGGAGTCACTTGAATCTTCTGTTTTGTTTGGCATCTATATAGGATAATGCATGAATAAATAAAAAATATGCAATTCTCAGTATTAATTCCTTCTGATCACAACTTTGTTTTAAAACAAAAAAGTCTCATGCATTCAGCACTTTTTCCATTTGTAAATTGGGGCATAACTCTAGACAGGTAAAAGTGACGCCACCCAAATTCATACGATGTGGTTTTGTGGTAATAAGCATTGTGTATAAATTTTATAACATTTGGTTGAGGCAAACTAAAGTTAGAGAATGGAAACCAATTTTGGGACGTACGGACGGACGTATAGACGGACAAGGGTAAAACTTAATGCCCCCTCCACTACAGCGGGGGCATAAAAATTTGTTTGTCAGATCCGATACGTGATCACAGATTACAACCCATCACTGTCAAACCGCTAACCAAATAAGAAGTCATTCTGTGATCAAAAATTACAACTCATCACTGTCAAACTGCTAACCAAATAAGAAGTCATTCTGTTCAGTTGTTTGTTAAAAAAATGTGACAAAAATATTTGTTTGACAAACAGATTGACAAGTGATACAATTTTGATCCCACCCCACAAGTGTGAGTATAACTAGATGTGCCAGTGCGAACAAGTCTGAACTACTGTTTATTTTCAGTACCATGGATAATGATAGGATTCATTTTTTTAGTTGGTTATGGTTCTTTATACTCTAAGAGGACCATATATCATAACTCCTGACTTCAATTTTTTTTTATCAGATTTCATGTCTGAAATTATTTTTTGTAATGCCTACCATTTCCTGAACATACTGCTTGACTTGAGTTTCTATTTGTTTCTTCACAGCCTCTGGCATCAGAGCGACAGGACCAGTTGTAACAGGTGTGACTCGCTGTGATAACTGCTGCTGAATATGTGCTGTACTGTTATCCAACATCTCAAATTTAGTCTATGTAAATAATTTAAAAATATGTAGAAATTAAAAATTTAGTAGGTCTTGGTTTGTTTTGACTATTGTTCAGCATTATCAAAGCACTATAAAAACAGTTCATGTTAATTTTGATCAGGTTGTCCTTTTCATTATAGTGTTCTTTGTGTGTGAGTCACCAACTTCAACCCACACGACACTCTTTACTGATAAATCCACTGATAACTGTGACCATTCTCATATACACTTTGGATTACATATATGTGTAACACTCAGAAACGTGTTCATCCCCCCAAACGTGTCCGATTCCCCCAAACGTGTCCAATGAACTGCAAAACATGTCTTGTTGCTAAAGGGCGCCAAAACGTGTTCTGTTTATAAGCGCTCAGTTGTATCCATTTAAAAAAAAAAGGCCAAACGTGTCCGATTTATATGAAACCGTAAGGTTTCCTTTTTAAAAGCACAGAAACCACTTTCTCATGAAGCTGATTGCAATACCCTCATATATAATTAAGACATTTAGGCATCATCAGAGATTATTAGTGTAATAGAATCCACTTAATAAACGATGATTTAAACTGTACAAAACTAATAAATAGCAATAGTTATGTTTTTTCTAAATACACATGACATATTTGCCACTGGACATTAAACAATCAACAGCCAATAGTTAATTATGTGTTGCACATTTAGCTTGCAGTTCTGCTTAATACAAATAACCGGCATTGAACACATTATTGCTAATAATTGACCACTTTATCAACAGTGAAGCACCTGGGAAACTTACAAGATAATAAACTGCTTTCCTGAGTGCAGCTGGATACGCCCGCAGAGGTCCAACCCTGAACAGTTGGGGCAAAAACTGGACACAATATTCAAGCTTGATACAGGTCTGAATTTGGATTGTAATTAAATATTTGACATATTATAGGTTTCTGAATAAATGTAGTCAAAGAACTTGAAATTGGTTATATGAATTGAATTTATATTCAATTAAAGATTTCTTGCTGTTGTGCAATACACTGTGCTGTTGCGCAATACTTAGTAAATCTGTTGTCAGACTATAAACAAATAAAGTTTAATTTCTTCTCAATGTCATATTTGAAATTTATGAAAATCAATAGGGAGATTACATCAATAGCTATAAATAATTCACCAAAGTTTCATGAGAACTGCTGAAAGCATTTTTGAGTTAGTGTCCAAAAACTGGAAAATCCCCCCTTTTTTAATGAATAAAACCCCATAACTCAGAAATGTAAAATCTAAAATTTATAAAATTATAAAGGGAGCTTACATCAACAGATATAAACAATTCACCAAAGTTTCATGAGAACTGCTGAAAGCATTTTTTAGTTATTGTCGGAAAACTGGAAAATCCCCCTTTTTTAATGAATTAAACCCTGTAACTCGGAAACGTTAAATCTAAAATTTATAAAAATCCAAAAGGGAGCTCATGTCAATAGATATAAACAATTCACCAAAATTTCTTGCAAGTTGGTGAAAGCATTCTTGAGTTATTGTTGGAAAACTGGAAAATCCCCCCTTTTTTAATGAATAAAACCCCAAAAATCGGAAACGGTAAATCTGAAATTTATAAAAAACGAAAGGGAACTCACGTCAACAGATATAAACAATTCACCAAAGTTTCATGCATATTGGTTAAAGCTTTTTTGAGTTAATGTCCGACATGTTGACGACGGACGGACAGTCAACAGTATACCATAATACGTCTCATAAACGGGCGTATAAAAAGTATTAAAATTTTTAATTGTGAAATACCTCTATCTGAACTTAAAAACAATGATAACTATATTGATAAAAATTAATAAAACCGCTGCAAGTCAAAATAACTTTTTATTGTGTGATTCTTTTTTAGCCTGGTGTCTAGATATAAGAAGATGTGGTATGAGTGCCAATGAGACAACTCTCCATCCAAGTCAAAATTTATAAAAGTAAACCATTATAGGTCACAGTACGGTCTTCAACACGGAGCCTTGGCTCACACCGAACAGTAAGCTATAAAGGCCCCAAAAAATTACTAGTGTAAAACCATTCAAACGGGAAAACCAACGGTCTAATCTATATAAAAAACGAGAAACTGTTTATTTGAAAGCAGAAGTCATTGTGCACAATGTAGCATGTATTGGACATTTGTCTATACGGATTACTACACCTTCCCTTCAGATTTCTTTTGGTAGCTACTTCAATTTTTAAGAATCCATCCGAACCCGAAGTCTGTTTTATCGTATTCCACGCCATTGAAACTTGCCGTAAATATTTTTGACTTCACAGATAAATATTGGCGCTTGGAGTTTTGAGACGTTCTGGCGTTTTTATTTGGACACGTTTAGGCGAATAACAATTATCGGACACGTTTGGGGGTGTGAAATCGGACACGTTTGGGCAATTTATAATTTGAAGGACACGTTTAGGCGAAATAGACACATTTGGGAGAATAGGACACGTTTGGGGGGATGGACACGTTTGGGAGTGTTACATATGTTTATGTGTGTGTGTGTTGAGGATCAGTACTGACCTAACAAACTATTATCCATTCTCAGTCACAGTATTTTAATTGATTGATTGATGTTGACTATACGTCTTGGTACAAATAGGCTATATCACCGTGACACAGTATTTTAAAGTTGAAAGAATAATTCAGGATACTATCCATTCTCTTTTACAATATATGTGGGCATTTGCGGACTCATTCAGCTTAATTTCAGTTCTCTTTCAAAGTTTTTATGTGCTTGATATTCATATTATATATAAAAATAAGAAGATGTGGTATGATTGCCAATGAGACAACTCTCCACCTAATGACATAGAAAGTGATTAGTATGTTTGTATTGATGCAACAGTGTGTACATTCTCTTTCAAAGGTTTTTTTATGTGTTTATTTTTGTGTTAAAGGAATCACCCAAGACTGTATGTGTTTGATGGATTATTAAAGTGTGTGTGTGGGTGTTTTTGAAGAATACTGACCTGATGACCATTCAGGACAATGTCCATTGTGTCCATTTTCTTCCATAGTGTTATGTTTAATTCTGAAACTGTCTGCTGCAATGACTCCACTTTCTGATAAAATAATGTAATAAAATGCTTCGCTGGGGCGCAGCTTGATACGACCGCAGAGGTCGAACCCTGAACAGTTGGGGCAAGTATGGACACAACATTCAAGCTTGATACAGCTCTGAATTTGGATTGTTATTAAATATTTGACACAGCATAGGTTTCTGACACAGAAAGAATGTGGTCTAAGAACTTGAATTTTTTTTTAATTTACCTATTATGGTCCAATGTCCAAAATCAAAATACATGGTTAGATTCAGCATATCAAAGAACCCCATATATTCAATTTTTGTTAAAATCAAACAAAGTTTAATTTTGGACCCCAACTTGGACAAACTTGAAAACTGGGCCCATAATCAAAAATCTAAACACATGTTTAGATTCAGCATATCAAAGAACCCCAAGAATTCAATTTTTGCTAAAATCAAACTAAGTTTAATTTTGGACCCTTTGGACCTTAATGTAGACCAATTTAAAAAACTGGACTTAAAATTAAAAATCTAAATACACGGTTAGATTTGGAATATCAAAGAACCCCAATAATTCAATTTTTGATGAAATCAAACAAAGTTTAATTTTGGACCCTTTTGACCTCAATATGAACCAATTTGATAGCGGGGCCCACAAATAAAAAATCTAAATTCATGGTTAGATTCAGCATATCAAAGAACCCCATATATTCAATTTTTGTTGAAATCAAAAAAAGTTTAATTTTGGACCCCAATTTGGACCAACTTGAAAACTGGGCCCATAATCAAAAATCTAAACACATGTTTAGATTCAGCATATCAAAGAACCCCAAGAATTCAATTTTTGTTAAAATCAAACTAAGTTTAATTTTGGACCCTTTGGACCTCAATGAAGACCAATTTAAAAAACAGGACCCAAATTAAAAATCTAAAAACACGGTTAGATTTGGCATATCAAAGAACCCCAATAATTCAATTTTCGATGAAATCAAACAAAGTTTAATTTTGGACCCTTTTGACCTCAATATGAACCAATTTGATAGCGGGGCCTACAAATAAAAAATCTAAATACATGGTTAGATTCAGCATATCAAAGAACCTCATATATTCAATTTTTGTTGAAATCAAACAAAGTTTAATTTTGGACCCCAATTTGGACCAACTTGAAAACTGGGCCCATAATAAAAAATCTAAATACATGTTTAGATTCAGCATATCAAAGAACCCCATATATTCAATTTTTGTTGAAATCAAACAAAGTTTAAATACTGGACCCTATCTTGGACCAACTTGAAAACTGGGCCCATAATAAAAAATCTAAACACATGTTTAGATTCAGCAAATCAAAGAACCCCAAGAATTCAATTTTTGTTAAAATCAAACTTAGTTTAATTTTGGACCCTTTGGACCTCAATGTAGACCAATTTAAAAAACAGGACCCAAAATTAAAAACCTAAATACACGGTTAGATTTGGAATATCAAAGAACCCCAATAATTCAATTTTAGATGAAATCAAACAAAGTTTAATTTTGGACCCTTTTGACCTCAATATGAACCAATTAGATAACGGGGTCCACAAATAAAAAATCTAAATACATGGTTAGATTCAGCATATCAAAGAACCCCATATATTCAATTTTTGTTGAAATCAAACAAAGTTTAATTTTGGACCCCAATTTGGACCGACTTGAAAACTGGGCCAAAAATCAAAAATCTAAATACATGTTTAGATTCAGCATATCAAAGAACCTCATATATTCAATTTTTGCTAAAATCAAACAAAGTTTAATTTTGGACCCTTTGGACATTAATGTAGACCAATTTGAAAACTGGACCCAAAATTAAAAATCTAAATACACTGTTAGATTCGGCATAACAAATAAATAAATGTGATCAAAGATTTTACAAATCTAATGCGCCATACTGTGCAATTAAAGATTACTTCTTGAAATTTTTCAATATTTGAAATTTGAAAAAAAAAAAATATTTGAAGAATAATTCTTTTTAATTTCTGAAATCTGAAATGAGAAAAAATTGGCCCCCCACAATTTCTTTTTATCCCCCCCCACCTTTTTCCCCCAAAAAAATTCTTTCCCTCAAGATATGGTCATAATCTCAATTCAAATTTCCAATGGAGTTGGCAACCATAATTACCCATTTAAATTTACCATAGTGCTAACTTAATCTATTTTATAATAGAATTAATAAAAATATAGTGTCAAATCTTTCATATGGATTTTTTTGTAAAAAAAAAAGATGAAAACATTTGCAGATATTTTTACTGGTCTTCCTTTATAAATATGCATTTCTTTAAACATAATTTAAAAGCAGTGTAAGGGAAGTAACCAAAACGTTGTATTTGGATTACCTCCCTTACACTGTTTTAGATTATCTTTATTGTTCATTAACCATTACTTTATACATAATTTAAAAGCAGTGTAAGGGAGATAATTTCAATGATGTATTTGATTTATCTCCCTTACACTGCTTTAAATTATGTTTTGTACTAAAGTATTTGTCCATTAACCAGGACAACCTTGTTTTTCCCCCTTTTTTGCCCCTAATTCCTAAACGGTTTGAGCCATAACCCCCCAAAGCAAATCCTAACCATCCCTTTGTGGTATGGAAACTTGTAGTATAATTTCAGAGAGATCCATACACCGTTCCACAGTTATTGTCTGGAAACTAGAAAATGCTCATTTTTGGCCCCTTTTTGGCCCCTAATTCCTTAACTGTTTGTACCATAACCCCCAAAATCAATCCCAACCTTCCTTTTGTGGTATTTAACCTTATGGTCAAATTTCAAAAAGATCCATTCACTTAAACTAAAGTTAGAGTGCGAAAACCAATATGTATTCGGACGACGACGCCGGACGACGACGACGACGACGCCAACGTCATACCAATATACGACCACAAAATTTTTTTGCGGTCGTATAAAAATTAGTAAATCTTTGTTGCTTTTAAACATACATTGAAATGTTTTAATTCTATTTCCATAACTCTACTGTTCATGATGAAGCGCAAAAAGAAGAAAAAATAACTAAAAGGATATCAAACGCTGTGTTACTGTTTGCAGTGTATCTCTAATCAGTTAACAAATGATAATATCATTTCATAATATTTCAAGAACATTCGACCTAAAAACATTTCAATCTAAAATCTATAGCTATTTTATTCTGTATTATATTCTAATATTTGCCTTTTTTATCTTCCACCTAAATGTAGATTGTATATATATATGACATGGTGAATGACTATCAATGTCTTACCTTTGACAAGTCTCCATTATCCTGAACAAAAGGTTTACTTTCTCTGTCATCAGACTGAAAATGAGAGACAAACACTTTTTAAACAGTTAAGATGGTTGACATCGTTTTTTCAGAAAATAAACTTATGAGTAAAAAGGGTAAAATTGGTAATGGTCAAAGTACTAGCAAACCCCTATAAATGTTAACTGAAGCTGAATTTCTCTACATTTAATGTTTTCATATGGTATGGACAATATGGGATAAAATAATCTTAACACTTTATTCAATTAATCAACAGCATTTACTTATATTGACGGATTTGAATATAAAATTTTACCTGTAAATTCTTTTGTGTCAGGTCACTTAATTGTTTTTCAGCACTCAGTTTAAATGTATTCAATGCCTCTAATTGTGATTTTAAATTCTGAACTTCAGATCCAATACCTGCTACAGACTGAAAAACACATATGAAACTAAAAATGGTAAGAAAGAAGAGATTTTAATAATATCTATTTCAAATCATATGGTTTTACTGAAATCAAAATGATTAATCTTGGATTTTTGACAATTCTCAATAATAAATGAACAATAAATGAATTTACAGTATCAAAAGTGGAGGAATATATTTATTTAAAGATTGTCTAATGAAAAACTCCCAAAGTACAATTCTAGAACGCTGGTATATAATTCCAGACTGATTTTGTAGATCACATGCGAAATTTAATCAATTTGTGGCCTATAAAAAATGTATCCAACTAACCGGAACCGTTTAAATACATGTAGCAATAGAAATTTTTCTTTTGCTTTGAAATTCTGCAGTGCCAAAGGCAGACACAATAAGTACTCCTTTTCCTCCTTTTCAAAACAATGCCCTTACTGAATTCATCACACAACCAATAACTAGCTATTATTATAGAGCTAGAATACCGTACATACCTTAGATATAATAGGTATCTGTGACAGCTGTTCTAATTTCTTATTTAACTCATCCTGGGATTTCACTGTCATTGCAGATTTTATAGAGTCTGATGATTTTGTCAATGTGTCTATCTGTAATACATAGACATACTTTAATAACATTAATTCACTAATTCCTCATTGCTAAATATATGGTTTTAATCTGCAGAGCCAGCTGGAAAATCTTTGGTATTGTTTAAATAAGATATTTATAATCAATCTTTATCATCTTCAATGATGGCAATCATCCACAACATATGACGATAATTAAAGCTCCTTGGGTCTGGACAAGTTGAAAACATTTCATTTATTGGATTGCAAAATTCATGAATATTTTGTTGAATTTTCAATTTTTTTATTTCTACTTTTTTAGCTAATATTCTGTTTTCTGAACTTTTTGAAAACTTTCTGTCAAGATAAAGTAAGTTCTTCCACTCAATTGAATGAAATGTTCAAATGGACAAAAGCCTTTGCTTAAACTAGATGTGTCGGAACGACAAGAATGGCCCGCTCTCAAAAAAAGCTTGAAGTCATTTTCAGGAGCGGAAATTTGAGAATGAAAGTCTGTATAACTGTTATTTCCCCCAATTTCAAGCCTGTTATTTCAGCAAAAATCAGCAGACCGGAACAAAACGTAAACTGATTTGTACCTCATCACAGAAGACTCACAAACTAAATATCAGCTCAATATGTAAAGGTGTTTAGAAAAAAAGTCTGTAAAACTTATTTTCACAAAATTTTCAAAGTCCAAAGCCCATAATTTTGGAGAAAATCAGCAGAGCAGAACTAAACCTTAACTCAATCTGTAACTCATCATAGTAGATTCACAAACTAAAAAAAGCTAAATATGTGAAGGCGTTTAAAAAAAGTCTGTATGACTGTTTGTGACGGAATGACGGATATGGATAAAACTATATGGCCAAATAAAAAGGCCCCAACCACTTTGTGGCGGGGCCATAAAATTAAAATAGATTGCCTGAACTTGATAGTAGTTCCTGTCAGTTTGAATTCATGTAAAAGAGATATGCAACCCCTGACTTATTAAAAGAGTAACTTTGAGGGCCTTAATATAAAAAGTTTGATTTCTGGAAATGCATGGCAATTAGGCTTTAGAAACAGATGACAAAAAAATTGTAATTTAAGACCAAACTGTGTTAAAATAAAATTTTTAAAATTTTGGAATTTCATTTCATTCATTTGTATTTTAAATTGGTCAAGACTGGCAAACTGACCATTTCCTGACCATTGCTCCTAATAGGAAACCTGTTTTGCTCTCAATGTAACTGTCTTGTGATTAAAGATAAGAAGGTAAATAAAATGAAACAGCAATCCGAGGAAAAAACATATAATAACTGTTCCTCATGTTGTCTTCAGAATACTGGTTTGATAAGACATGGCTTGGTCACTTGCCTTAGAGCCCAGAAGTAAAAGTTGTTGGCAAATACTTCGATAACTGGTAAGTTCTTTTTTATAGCATGTACAGCATGTTGGGTGTTCATAAAAATAAAATTCTACAAGCAACTTGACATATATTTACCTGACCATCTAATTTAGAAAACTTCTGTGACTCCTCTGATTTGACATTTTGTAAAGTTGTTTTTAATTCATCAATCTGTGGTTGAAATTTTCCAACTTCTGTTGTACTGTCTTTATTTTTTCTTTCCACTGCAAAAGAAATTATATGAAATTTTCAAATAATCAAGATCAATTATTCTTAAAAGCATCTATGCAAATGAATCCAACTAAACTTCCTTTTCGCTGAAAGTACAATGTAATACATGTAGATACCGGGTAGTTCATATTAGGAAAGAACAGTTTGGTTAAAAAATTGAAACAAATCATTCAAACTATTTCAAAATAAAAACCCATCAGATCAAGTTAAATGCTGGTAACACACTCACATATATTCATTGGTAGATTTTAACACATCTTTACACTGAAACCCACAGATGCAATCATTATCTAGTACAAACAGACTTTTTTTTATAATCATATCACATCTACAAATTATCTTTCTGAATGTGCAATTAATACTTGCCACTGGGTAATAAGCAGATATCAATCAATCATTGTGCAAAATTTGAAGAAACTTGAAACAGGACAACTAAAGTGGTTCAGAGTTCGCGAAAACTTATTTTGACCCGTCGGTCATGGGACCGACAAAGCATGATTATTTGTCAGTCCTACAAAATTTTAGACAGTCCTACAAAATCTGTCAATTTTATCCTGAGAAAAAATTGATAACATATTTTATCGAAAAATAACTTTATTAATATTATTATTAGTTTTATTCTTCGCACCCACAGGCAAATTAACAATGAAGGACCAGTTCAGGTCTTCTGATTGTTCTTATATAAAGTCATCTTCACTATCCATTTCATCATCTGAATCACTTTCTCGGCTGTTGCAGTATTTGTTTGCTCCATTGTGGGGTTCAATCGCCGATTGTTTGCCAGGGATGGCTCTATGGACAAATTAAGTAGGCCATGTGTAGGTTACAATACACCATTAGATTTTGTGGGCGCAGCCATTTTATGAGCATAACATGGTATTCAGAATTAAGAGTATAGCTAATCCTGATTGGTTGATATGTGCGCCCGTTATTTTTTGTTATGAGAGACTTCGTGCATTCTGCATTATACCAAAGGCCAAATAAATTATTTTCCTTAGCCCTAACGGAACTGAGATGTCTTTTAAACGCTAGGATGAGACACGTATTTTTAAGTGCAAAATTGATAGGCATGGGAGATAAGTACAAATTACGCTAAGAAAAGCAACGCGAACCTATATTTTTTGGACCAAAAAATACTGTCCTAATAACTTTTCTTTAATTCTAGCAAGGTTTCGTTAAAAAAATCAACTTTCTGAAGTCTGTATCTCGAAAAAGGCTATCATTGTCGCCTATGGGGAAATTAATTGTTTATTTCAATCTATACAGCGTCGACATTTCCTCATCATAGTGCTCAAAAAGTGTCAAAAACAGTAATTTTACTTGATATTTGATGTGAAACCTTATTTTTTGGTGACAAATGAATTATTGATTAACTAGTTTTTAAGCTATAGTCTGTTTCATTTTTGTATTGCTTTTTACCTTAGAAGCATGGGTGGGTTCGACTTTTGACTTACTGTGGAGAGAATATGTCATGTTCTGAACTTCTGCTGATTTGTTTGAAAAAAGCACGTACACGTCTAGAGTTTGGATATACAAATCAATTTTTAAACATGACAATCTCGATCCAAGTGCTGTTATCGAAATTACCAAATTCAGGGAAAATGTACAGAAATGATCCCCATCGAACATTGAAATGTTCACTCGAATGACAGACTATAAAAAAAGAATAGGCATGACATTTTGTAGTTAACGAATAGTTTTCGATGCTTAAACACAAATATTTACACATTTATCATATTTTGAAATGCTATAGTCTGTTTCAAAAATGTACTTTTATACGAAAATGGTTTCATTTAAAACTGTTGTTCAAAATTCACCGTAGTAGTTACATATTGGATCGGTTTTGGTATCAATATAATCAGTACTTGATGACATACAAAGAATCATTGGAGAAAGTGGACATTATCTTCAGGCCCTTTTTAGCAGTACCGCATTTACTCAAAAAATCTGAATTTTTTTCCCCATTTTTTGACTGGGGTCACCTCTGATAAAAAATTGTGAAAATTCAGAGAGTAATGCCAGAACGTTTTGAAGATGATTTTTTTGTGGCATATATATTTGTGCATATAACGAACTATGAATTGCATGATTCTAGAAAGTATTAAATACCGTATAGGTTACAATACACCATTAGATTTTATGGGCGCAGCCATTTTATGAGCATAACATGGTATTCAGAATTAAGAGTATAGCTAATCCTGATTGATTGATATGTGCGCCCGTTATTTTTTGTTATTAGAGACTTCGTGCATTCTGCATTATACCAAAGGCCAAATAAATTATTTTCCTTAGCCCTAACGGAACTGAGATGTCTTTTAAACGCTAGGATGAGACACGTATTTTTAAGTGCAAAATTGATAGGCATGGGAGATAAGTACAAATTACGCTAAGAAAAGCAACGCGAACCTATATTTTTTGGACCAAAAAATACTGTCCTAATAACTTTTCTTTAATTCTAGAAAGGTTTCGTTAAAAAAATCAACTTTCTGAAGTCTGTATCTCGAAAAAGGCTATCATTGTCGCCTATGGGGAAATTAATTGTTTATTTCAATCTGTAGATCGCCGCTTTGGTTTGTTTATAATAAATCCGTAAACCAGTACCGGAAATTGGCAGCGGATACATCTGATAACCGATGTAAACACTTGTTGGAAACAGTTGCGGTACATCTAATAACCGATGTAAATAAAATGCTTCGCTGGGGCGCAGCTTGATACGACCGCAGAGGTCGAACCCTGAACAGTTGGGGCAAGTATGGACACAACATTCAAGCTTGATACAGCTCTGAATTTGGATTGTTATTAAATATTTGACACAGCATAGGTTTCTGACACAGAAAGAATGTGGTCTAAGAACTTGAATTTTTTTAATTTACCTATTATGGTCCAATGTCCAAAATCAAAATACATGGTTAGATTCAGCATATCAAAGAACACCATATATTCAATTTTTGTTAAAATCAAACAAAGTTTAATTTTGGACCCCAACTTGGACAAACTTGAAAACTGGGCCCATAATCAAAAATCTAAACACATGTTTAGATTCAGCATATCAAAGAACCCCAAGAATTCAATTTTTGCTAAAATCAAACTAAGTTTAATTTTGGACCCTTTGGACCTTAATGTAGACCAATTTAAAAAACGGGACTTAAAATTAAAAATCTAAATACACGGTTAGATTTGGAATATCAAAGAACCCCAATAATTCAATTTTTGATGAAATCAAACAAAGTTTAATTTTGGACCCTTTTGACCTCAATATGAACCAATTTGATAGCAGGGCCCACAAATAAAAATTCTAAATTCATGGTTAGATTCAGCATATCAAAGAAACCCATATATTCAATTTTTGTTGAAATCAAAAAAAGTTTAATTTTGGACCCCAACTTGGACAAACTTGAAAACTGGGCCCATAATCAAAAATCTAAATACATGTTTAGATTCAGCATATCAAAGAACCCCAAGAATTCAATTTTTGTTAAAATCAAACCAAGTTTAATTTTGGACCCTTTGGACCTCAATGAACCAATTTAAAAAACGGGACCCAAATTAAAAATCTAAAAACACGGTTAGATTTGGCATATCAAAGAACCCCAATAATTCAATTTTCGATGAAATCAAACAAAGTTTAATTTTGGACCCTTTTGACCTCAATATGAACCAATTTGATAGCGGAGCCTACAAATAAAAAATCTAAATACATGGTTAGAATCAGCATATGGTATAAAACCACTAATTCATAGCCCCATTGCTTTCTATGTTAAATTCTGCAATTTCAAGCATAAATGGCTACTTTGTCTTAAGTTCAAATAAAGTGGCAGTTATTTCATGTCAAAACTGTACCTTATGCAGACTTGTGCTGAAAAAATCAACATACCTTTAATTGCATATTAGAGCGTACTGGTTCCCGGAAGTTTGATAGTACAAAAACAGGAACTTCTGATCTGAACAACAGGCCAAATGAGCCCTCCTATTAAAATTTCATATACTTCTTTATTATTCAAATAAAACTTTCAACAAGGATTCTACAGTGATCCCAAGTCCCCAAGCTTTCATTTGATACTAAAACTACCCAAATATTCCCACTATTGACAAAGATACAGCTATGCGTAGGAACTATTTTGTTTAAACTATGTACTACTTTCTTGTATGTTCTTTCCGACCGGGCCTGAATTAGTGGTTCTATACCTATAACAGCACCAAACTTGTTATATTGACTTCTGCTTGACTTAATTTCCTTCTATGATCTATTTCTAGCATAGCAAAACACATAAAGCTTTTGTCAAAACACTATATCACTGAATTCAAGCTCAAATTGGACTGGTAGTAACATATGCGTTAAACAAAGAAAACTACATATGGATACTAATAGTGACAGATATGACACTTTTTCAAGTTTTACCAGTTCTGATTTGTTAATATCTACTCAAATAACAGTGTTCTTACCTATATGTCTTATTTTTATCAGATATTATTCCTTGAATATAAATACAGTGGTCCAAACATAAAATATAATTGATAATTTTGTCCCCCCCCCCCTTTTTTCTACATGTTGGAAAAGGAGAGTGATTTGGTAAAAAACCATACTTTTATTTATAAACATGGATCAACAAGATCAATTTATGTATCTCCAAGCTAGACAACTTACTAAAATGGTTATAAAATGCATTTCAAGTGAGATTTTGGAATTCCTATGTAAGTATACAACAATTTTCCTTGAAATAAATAATTCACCAAGAAACACAATAAAACATGAACAGTCACTAGTTAATTTGACCAAAAACAATATTTATTCTATAAACTAGTCATAATATACAAGTTTCATTGGTTTCAGTGTTAGATAATCCAAAAATTTAAATTTCAGGTAAAATCTTAACTGTGTGTATGCTAAATGACCAAAAAAGGCTAAAATACCTTATTGTAGCAATTTGAGGGCTGTAATTTGACACTAACATAATTGTTACATAAAAAAATAATGTAACATGATGTCTGACAACAAATGTGACCAATTTTCACTGTAAAGGGTATGATTTCTAAAAATAGAATTTCACATGCCTGTCAGTAATAGGTATAAAACCACTAATTCATAGCCCCATTGCTTTCTATGTTAAATTCTGCAATTTCAAGCATAAATGGCTACTTTGTCTTAAGTTCAAATAAAGTGGCAGTTATTTCATGTCAAAACTGTACCTTATGCAGACTTGTGCTGAAAAAATCAACATACCTTTAATTGCATATTAGAGCGTACTGGTTCCCGGAAGTTTGATAGTACAAAAACAGGAACTTCTGATCTGAACAACAGGCCAAATGAGCCCTCCTATTAAAATTTCATATACTTCTTTATTATTCAAATAAAACTTTCAACAAGGATTCTACAGTGATCCCAAGTCCCCAAGCTTTCATTTGATACTAAAACTACCCAAATATTCCCACTATTGACAAAGATACAGCTATGCGTAGGAACTATTTTGTTTAAACTATGTACTACTTTCTTGTATGTTCTTTCCGACCGGGCCTGAATTAGTGGTTCTATACCATATCAAAGAACATCATATATTCAATTTTTGTTGAAATCATACAAAGTTTAATTATGGACCCCAATTTGGACCAACTTGAAAACTGGGCCCATAATCAAAAATCTAAATTCATGTTTAGATTCAGCATATCAAAGAACCCCATATATTCAATTTTTGTTGAAATCAAACAAAGTTTAAATACTGGACCCTATCTTGGACCAACTTGAAAACTGGGCCCATAATCAAAAATCTAAACACATGTTTAGATTCAGCAAATCAAAGAACCCCAAGAATTCAATTTTTGTTAAAATCAAACTAAGTTTAATTTTGGACCCTTTGGACCTCAATGTAGACCAATTTAAAAAAACAGGACCCAAAATTAAGAACCTAAATACACGGTTAGATTTGGAATATCAAAGAACCCCAATAATTCAATTTTAGATGAAATCAAACAAAGTTTAATTTTGGACCCTTTTGACCTCAATATGAACCAATTAGATAACGGGGTCCACAAATAAAAAATCTATATACATGGTTAGATTCAGCATATCAAAGAACCCCATATATTCAATTTTTGTTGAAATCAAACAAAGTTAAATTTTGGACCCCAATTTGGACCGACTTGAAAACTGGGCCAAAAATCAAAAATCTAAATACATGTTTAGATTCAGCATATCAAAGAACCTCATATATTCAATTTTTGCTAAAATCAAACAAAGTTTAATTTTGGACCCTTTGGACATTAATGTAGACCAATTTGAAAACTGGACCCAAAATTAAAAATCTAAATACACTGTTAGGTTCGGCATAACAAATAAATAAATGTGATCAAAGATTTTACAAATCTAATGCGCCATACTGTGCAATTAAAGATTACTTCTTGAAATTTTTCAATATTTGAAATTTGAAAAAAAAATAATATTTGAAGAATAATTCTTTTTAATTTCTGAAATCTGAAATGAGAAAAAATTGGCCCCCCACAATTTCTTTTTATCCCCCCCCCTTTTTCCCCAAAAAAAATTCTTTCCCTCAAGATATGGTCATAATCTCAATTCAAATTTCCAATGGAGTTGGCAACCATAATTACCCATTTAAATTTACCATAGTGCTAACTTAATCTATTTTATAATAGAATTAATAAAAATATAGTGTCAAATCTTTCATATGGATTTTTTTGTTAAAAAAAAAAGATGAAAACATTTGCAGATATTTTTACTGGTCTTCCTTTATAAATATGCATTTCTTTAAACATAATTTAAAAGCAGAGTAAGGGAAGTAACCAAAACATTGTATTTGGATTACCTCCCTTACACTGTTTTAGATTATCTTTATTGTTCATTAACCATTACTTTATACATAATTTAAAAGCAGTGTAAGGGAGATAATTTCAATGATGTATTTGATTTATCTCCCTTACACTGCTTTAAATTATGTTTTGTATTAAGTATTTGTCCATTAACCAGGACAACCTTGTTTTTCCCCCTTTTTTGCCCCTAATTCCTAAACGGTTTGAGCCATAACCCCCCAAAGCAAATCCTAACCATCCCTTTGTGGTATGGAAACTTGTAGTATAATTTCAGAGAGATCCATACACCGTTCCACAGTTATTGTCTGGAAACTAGAAAATGCTCATTTTTGGCCCCTTTTTGGCCCCTAATTCCTTAACTGTTGGTACCATAACCCCCAAAATCAATCCCAACCTTCCTTTTGTGGTATTTAACCTTATGGTCAAATTTCAAAAAGATACATTCACTTAAACTAAAGTTAGAGTGCGAAAACCAATATGTATTCGGACGACGACGACGACGACACCGGATGACGACGACGCCAACGTCATACCAATATACGACCACAAAAAGTGCCGAAATATGCACTACAACGGCCGTTTTTACATCGGTCATCGGGACCGGCAATAGCCTTCAAAATACTGGTCCGAGCTTCATTTTGACCGACAGGACCGACCATTTTCGTGAACTCTGGTGGTTAGGCCATCTAGCCAGACTGTCCTTCATACATGTGCAACAACACACCAATCATTTCAAATACAACATCACTTACCTAATATTAGTTTATCCTGTAAAATTTGAATGCTATTTTTCATATCAAAATGTAACCATATCAGTCCAGAAGATATGATTAGACATGTTCCAACCATTAAGAATATCATTGCTGTTTTACATGATGAGCAGGATGACCTTCCTCTACTACAATAAGTAATCAGTTTAGCATTGCTTGCACAAAACACTTTCCATTTAGATAGAAAAAAATATATGCTTGAATGCAGCATTACATGAGTCAAGACATATACAGAAACAGCTAATCTGCATAATAATGATGTAATATTAAGTAAAAAGGTTTTTTTTCTTTGAGATGAAGTTCAAATGCTTTAAAATTTTTAAATTTGTATCAAACTCTTCTGAAAATTTCCTAGGTATAAATTTTTTGTTTCAAGGAAAAAAGTTCCTATAAAATTCCAATTCATTAATATTCATTCAAATTTCAAAATAGTAAAATAAAGAAAAAACATGTTTTAGTTATAAACATGATAAGAGTCTGTGATATCAATTTTCCTAGGAAAACAGTCCAGTGTAATATTTTAAATAACACTCATATTTCAATGAAATAATGAAAGATTAATGTACATTTGTTAAAAAATATTGATTGATTGATTGGTGTTTAACGCCACTTTCAGCACTATTGTGCTATTTAAAGCAGTCAGTTTTTATTGGTGGAGGAAGCCAGAGTGCCTGGAGAGAACCACCAACCTTCGGTAGGAGGAGCCTGGTAGGATAACTGACAATCCTAGTCAATTAAGGTTGGAGTTGAGCACACCTGCTACATGCTGGATTCGAACTTACAACCTCAGTGTTGACATTCACAGGCTAATGATAGAGTAGTTTGCCTACTTAGACCAGGGCCACCGAGGCCCCTGGAAAAAAAATCAAAATTTACAATTAAACACCCCATTGTTTACATGTACATGTAAATGATTTCTTTCAGAGCAAAGATTTTTTCTAGTAAAATAAAGTACATGGATAACGGACATTAATTACTGGTACTGACTACATAATTTATATATTGTGGTTAGTAACTTTTCTGGATAACTTACTATTCTAACAGTATTTTTATTGCGTCAGAGATTGGTCCTTTGAGAAATTTTTAGGGTTCAATCTAGCAAGTTATTTTGTTTCTGGAAAGTCTTTAAGAAAAGTGGCTTCATAAATAAACAGATTGAGGACAATTTGCAAAATGGGGAACTGATCCCAAAATGAGTAACAATCCCTCAATTGAGTAATCGTTTCATAGTGCTTAAAGCAAGATTTTCTGAGCTGAGTCTTTTTACTTAAAATGGCACAAAATTTATAGAAAATGGAACATCTTCCATAACCATGATTATAACAACCATATTTTTATTTTGAGTTTTATGAAAGTAAATAGCATTAAAATTGTCAATTTTACAATATTCCTCAGTGAATCAGGTAAGGGCTATTCCATCTTTTGGAAAATCTGCTGAATCTTTCATGAATAATGTGTCATTTACAGTATTTATATACAACATTTGTATTACATAAATGAATATTTTAATACAAGAAAAGTACCCCTCATTTGAGATATGTTTACTCATTTGGGGAGCTATTTCCCATTTAGCGGGTTGTCACCAACCTGATAAATGCTTTTAAATATTTTCGCTTAAATCCTTGTTCGTGGTCCCGACGTGAAAATATTATAGATAAATCTTTCCTTTTATCTCGGAGAGAGAGTATAGGTCAGGACTGATATGAAAAATGCCAATTTACAACTTTATATGTTGGTCTACACTAACTTTCTAAATAACGTCTTTTGTGCAGCAATGCTAAACTCGTCAATTTCTGATGATTCGCTTTCAGTGCGAAGAAGTTCGTGACCACTTTTAGATTTGCGGCGAACTTTCCCATTACAAACTAATGCGTCGAGTTCACGGCGTTTTTTCATTTTCTTTGAAGGTATGAATTCTACATTAAGTTTATTTTGTGGCTCCATCGCCCTGGTTAAGGGAAGTCCACATGAACGTTGTTTTTTTACTTGACAGGTTCCCGGAAGTTAATTAAATGAACAGTAGTCAAGATGATATGATATATGAGCTATTCCATTGGTTAAAATATTTACCGTATATATTGTAATATAGGTACTTACTAAGTTTGATTTTAAAAGAGTTTAAACAGTTAAAATTAAATTAATATCAAATCTGGGACATAATATATTAACATAGTTAGTATAATAGTCCCAAATATTTTAAAGTTTAATCTGAGATTATTATAACACTATGTGCTATATTAACCACAAGTTTACTTCAGAATAGAGATACTGGGACTTCTTTCCTAACTTATTGTATGGAATTTTTATTCTACAATCATATCATCGGATTTTCTTTAAAAAAAATAAGAGACAGGAACTGTTCAGTACAGATCATTCATTTCTAGTGAGTTTAATGTCAGCAGTGGTGTGCGACAGGGTGGTAATTTCTCACCTTATTTGTTTAATTCATAATGACTTGAATAACAGATTAGCAAAGGCTAATGTTGGTTGTTATTTAAATAAAACATCAATGAATATTTTTAGTTGTGTTGATGCTAAATTCTTTTATCTTGTATGTGTATAATAAGCCCATTAGTTGCCGGGTTGATATTTTATTTAATGTCAAGAAATCTATGATGTGTATGATCTTGATGATTTACAACATGCCCAAATTTTACCTATGTAGCAATTTATTAGAATTTGTTGATGCATTTAAATATCTTGGACATGTGAATTGTAATGATTTAAATGATGATTGTGACACAAAAAGACAACATCAAAGTATATGCTGAAGCGAACATTTTACAAACGTTATACGGGTGTTCGGATTCAACTCTTTTATTTATATGTACGAATGTCTATTGTGTATCTTTAAAGTCTAAATGCAAGTCTGCCTTTTTTTAAATAAAATGCGAGTAATGTATAATAATGCTTTCAGAATAATAATGGGATATCAATATAGATGTACTAGTGCAAGTAATATGTTTCTTGTAAATGAAGTAATGTCCTTCAAAGAAGTTACGTGAAAGTCCGTGTTTAGTTTGTTAAATCGCTGGAAAAATCTGAAATTGTTCGTCCTGAATTTGCCACTGGACGTGTCAGCAAGCAACAATAAATCAATAGGAAAATTGTCCCTTAAAATAATGGTTAATGTGTGTTCAGTTTAAAAGTAAATAAATATATACCAATAAATCATAAAAGACGATGCTTTTTAACAAATGAAAGTAAGGGCGTCCAGTGCATTTAACACATGCGTATATAATTCTCGATTAAGTTGCACGAGGTCAAGGAACATAAATTGGTGACCTCTGCACAGTGTCAGGGGCGTAGCTAGGCTAGTATTTAAGTGTAGGCACCGAAAATATTTTGGACCATTGTATGCAGAAAATGATTTTAGATGTGTACGCAACTGCGTTTTTGCGTACGGTTTCCCAGTATGACCTTTTGAAAAACAAGGCAATTACCCAGAAAAATTACAATTTTCTTATGAAAAACATTTATCATGTTTATACCCAAATTGAACAGAAGGCAGACGTATGTAGATTACTCTTTTAATGTATATATATATTATACCAGTGACCGATAGTAAAGTTCGATAAATGGCGTCAGACTAAATGGCCAAGTTTGATAACTAATGCATTAGTAATTAGCCAGTTAGAGGTACGGGGTGTAATTAACCCATTTCTCTGACGTCAGTCTATTGTTCTTACAGTAGATTATTTTTCAAGAATCCACTGACCACTTCGTTAACTTAAGATAACTTACTTTATAACTTTAAACTTTTAACTAACGATTTTTTATCCTCTCAAAAACGAGTGGCATATGAAGGGATCGATCTCGCGCGTATTTTCTTCATAATCAGTAGAGTCTTCAGTCTATGCATGATACCACTATACCACGAGTGCTGACATAAATCAATATTTAAATAACACTCATAAAGCGCACAACTGTCAAAACATGTCAATAAACTGTATGTCTGTCTCAGAGATAATTCGCTTTTGTTATCTAATAAAATATATATACTATGTCTGGATTTGTTCATGTTCTTTTCAAATTTATTTAAATTGTTTTATTTTGGACGTTATTTTTTAAGGAAGATTATGTTCTACATTTGAACGTTCTTGATTATAGTTATATAGCAGTATGGAAATATCTTAAAACAGAGTTTATTCACGATGTCAGGTTTGAACATTGGTCGATTTTCAACATCGTTATAATGAACCGATGGGTCTTTATACGATTGTGGCTATTACACACTAGTTCTAAACACTAGAGAATCAAGGAATTGTATATATTAGTGCAATTCCTTGATAAAATAAACATTCATATGCCCATTACACTTGTCACTTTTAACGTACAAGGACTTTTCCTTTTTATCATAGCAAATACTTACTTATGGTTTTAGTCTTATAATGATATCGTACTATCAATATTTTTTTCTTTGTTTGATTATAAATGGTCCAAATATACATCACGTCAACATTGAACGGACTCTAACTTGAATAAAGTGTGATATATAAGCTACGACCGTAAAACTACTTCTTTGATTGTAAAACCAGAAACAAAATCATCGCCTTTAAATGAAAATGAAGTATATAATACCTCTATGATTAAAACAATATTTTTGTTGAGAAAAAAATTACAATGAAAAAATTTCAATTCGGGTACAAGGTTTGAACTTGGCACTGTTAATGTCACAGTTATGTTTTTCGGTACCAACGACTAGACGATCACGGCTATGAACAGCTTGAATGTAAAAGTTAAAAATTTACATAATTATACATTGTACATCTGTAGCAAGAGCAATTCTGCTGGAGATTCAGAATGCGTACCACAGATAATACTAGTTTATTGACTGGTTTACGATGGATGCCAAATGTAATAACGTTAAAAATAATCTAAACTTAATGAAAGGGAAACAGTTTAAACAAAATTCATGTATAATTGTTCAAAAAAGACCTTAAGCAATTATTTTATTTATTTCGGAAAGCATCATTAACTGGAGCATCATGAAATTGTAGTATTATGGCAACTACGCTAAATATATGTATTTGACTTAGTACGGTTAAAATGGTAGACAATCCATAATCAGCTGTCAACAATTGCAGATTGCTAAATACTATATATGTAAATTTCAAAGGTTTCTAAATTTTGGTAATAACAATTTTTTAACTATTCAAAAAAAGATAAATAAATTCTGTATATTTATATATGTCTTTTTGAATAAACCATAAATACCAAAATCTATATAATTTAAATACTTTGTAATGATAAAGCATTAAATGAAATATAAATATACAAGTATGAAATCTGGTAATAAAAAGGGGAGCTAACAACCCATTTAAGTTATATTAAACGTATGTTAACTTAAATATAGACGTGAACCGTGTGGATATAATCATTTCCAGCTATTATAAAATAAAAAAAGACAAAATACGAAATTATTTTTATGAAATTCCGTTGATTCATTGTCAAAACATAAAACAGACAGTCGTTTTACTAGAAATGGGTTAAGCTAGAGAATTGATAAGAAGTAGTGGATTCGGAAACGATAATCAACTTGCGACTAAAGTCGCTCGTTGATTATCGTTTACGAATCCACTACTTCTTATCAATTCTCTACTACTTAACACATCGCCCGAAACAGATGCATCATACGATTCTCTTTGAAGTCGGTCGCGTTTCCATTCCTTTTAAATATACAATTCCTTGGTTATATGTATACCCGACATTAAATAAATCTTTAATTATTTATAATTATTATTTATTTTTGACAGGTATATGTGTAATGTGGCGGGGTTAAACAAGTTTTGTATACGTTATTAAATAGACTACACGCATATACACAAAGTTGTCTGTTGGACAGTTGCAATGATCACATATATAACAGAAAGGATTTGTATAGTCTCACTTTACAAATCCTTGATAACAGCAATGGACAAATGATTGAAGACGTAAAGGGCCCTAGACATTCTTCAAATTTTGTTTTGTTATCATGATACTGATTGTTTGAGAAAGATGTACAACTAAACGGATTTCTAAAGAAAATAACAAGGAGAGTTTAGAAGCACATTAATTGAGAAAAAAAATGTTTTCATTTTAATCGACGCATAATCAGGGGCGGATCCAGGATTTTGGAAAGGGGGGGTGTAGTAATAAAGTTCGGCGAGCAGAGCGAGGCGAAAAAATTTTTGGACCTTTTTTTGGCTAAAAAACATAAAATAAGTGTAAAATGCATTTTATAGTTAAAGTGTAGGGTTTGGACATTTTTGGTGCCGTATTCTCACCATTAATTGTCTATTATAAAATGATTGGATGGATCCAAAGCTATGTACTAATTAATATATTTGATGTGGGATTTGTCAGTAAAAAATGGACATGGAAAATTCTCGTTTGTTGTATGGTTAGTTAGCATAACCTCACAGATTTCTTGTTGTAAACAAGATATACGGCTATTCAATGAAATTTACAATACGACCGACACGAAGAAAGACAAACAAGCAATTTTTATCCAAATGTTTGGTTGAAATGTTTCAACCAACAAGGGAAGTGAGGGGTTCCAAATCAACCAAAGGCTACGAATGAGTCGGAAATGACAATGAAGTTGTGAATGACGGTCGACACATGGAGAAATATAGGCCACACCCAGCAGGCAGGTTGCAGTCGGGCCTTGAAAAAAGTATTCAGTATATCAGTTCGGCGAAACAGACATTCCGGTCAGATATGGGATTCACATGCAACCTCCCCCCCCCCCCAAAAAAAAAAATTGTTGTTTATTCATCATGTTCATTTAATGCTAAATAATTTTGTTGAAAATATTTTTTTCTAATAGCAAAAAAGTGGACAAGATTATTGTTTTCAATCCAGATACGGCCAGAAGTTTTGTTTAAGGCAAAAATCAGGGTCAGAATTTTTTCTCTAAAATATCTCAGACTGCCCCCTCATATCAAATGGTCCGTACCTTAGACTTTAAATCTATATCTAGAGCTTCATGATTGTGGATCACTATTCAGCAATGTTATTAATATGCTGG